CAGTATCAGCACTGGTGTGGGTGTTGTACCGGACTATCCATCTATGTTCCACCCCTTACCTATGACCATGTGATCTGGGTAACAGTAATAGTAATAATAATAATAATTAGCTGCCAAAATGAGTTTCCTTCGTAGGGTGGCTGGCTTAGAGACAGCTGATGTGGTTGGAGCATCTGGCTAGGATGCCTTCTGGGAGCCTCCCTTTGGAGGTTTTTCTGGGAAATTGGGAAGAAACCCCAGGCTAGACCAAGAGCACACTGAAGAGAATGTATATCTCATCTGGCATGGGAGCACCTCGGGATCTCCCAGGACGAACAGTAAAGTGTTGGTGGGGAGAAGGACATCTGGAAATGTCAGCTTTGCCTGCTACCACCCACAGACTGCGCAAAAGATGACCACCATGACCTTACCCACTGGTTTTGGACTCCACTTTCTGATACGTCAAGGTTAGCGTTTTGGCCGCCCCCACGTTGGTTTTTGGAGCCAGAAGTTACCTTATATAGATAATTTATAGCTTGGTCACCAATCTACAACTAACAAAACAGTAGAATTTTACTCACCAAAACTGAAGTACAAACCTCTGAGGTGGCCACAATATTTGTAAGATTTTGGAGCTCCAACACTACACACACGGTGACTAGATGTAGTGGATGAGACCTATAATATCCCATAACTCCAAATCCATTTACTCTCATGGCACGGCCATATTTAACCCAAAACTCCAACACATTTCTCCAACAAGCAACAATGAACAAACTGAATCTTTTGTAATGGTGTTTCACTAGTGTGTATCTGAAATCCCCATGCTAATGTTGTTCCTGTATGATCACAACAATGTTGGTCCATGATCAATATTGCAATTGACCAATCAATGGTTTGCTAGTGATAGTTTTAATAGCATTAGGCTAATACTAGCTTAATGCTCAGCTGTCATAGGTCAGTTGCAATGTTGATCCTGGACCAACATTACTATAATGGTGTACGAATGACACCAACATGGCGATATTTTAGATCATGCCAAATTTCCAATTAGGGTGAGAGTGGAAAATTCCACCAGTAAAACTTTACCCATAGGATGAGTCTTCAATAATCCGGTTAAATGCAAGAGCCCAAAAAGATATCAAGAAACATCCACAAGATTCAGTCCAAATCAGACAAGAAAACACATCAGAGCACCATACACTGCAGATCATTTAAATGCATCTTCAAGGGCAAATAAAGTTTATTAAAAAAAAAAGAAGAAGTAACATCTAATTCCTCATTTAAGCCAGGATATTTAGTGGCCTATAATTTATAAATCCAAAAAGCTTCCCTTTGGTTATGGAGCCCTGGTAAATTATTTCATCGTATTGAAAGAGGAATGTGGTTAATTCCAATCGCTTGTACTGTAGAAGAGTTACTATTATGAGTCCAGGTAGTGTTTAGCCTTGGACTCATTAATGTTACTTGTGTGTATGGCATATTTGTTTTCCGCTAACCTGACCTCCAACCTCCAATCTTTTTGTTCTACCAAAGTAAAAAGAGAGCAAATTAGCCCCACCAGACTCAGGTCAGGACATCTGTCAATCAGGCCATTCCAGTTACTCAGTCAACCAGCCCCTCTCTCAGGCTACATCCACACTAGCCTGGATAGATTTGAAAACGGCATTTTCATCTGAAAAACATGTTTTCAGTTGTTTTCAAAGAGTTGCGTGTCCACACAAAAACGGCCGAAAACGCTGACGTTGCCGTTCCGTGCATGCGTGAAACGCAAGACAACTCGACCTGTGTCATTTCCCTCTGCCGTTTATTTACATTCCGGCTCTTTGAAATGTGGCGGCGAAATGGCAAGACAAAGCACCGAATTCTTGGTTTAAGTGGTCACATGACTGCATCGTGACCAACATGTGTCATCGTTTTCCAAAGTCTGCGTTTTCGAGTGTCCACACTGCGACGGGACAGCTCCGTTTTGAAATGTATCCGTTTTCGAGAGCGTTTTCCAAACGCTGCGTTTTTCCTTGGGGAACACACCGTCTCAGTGTGGATGAGAGGGCAAAACGGAGAGAAAACGATGCGTTTTCAAACATAAACGCATTAGTGTGGATGTAGCCTCAGTCTGGTCCTGCCTGAGATTTCTTGCTATTAAAAGGGAGTTTTTCCTTCCCACTGTCACCAAGTGCTTACTGATAGGCGGTCATCTGATTTTTGGGCTTTTCCTTATATTATTGTTGGGTCTTTACCTAACAGTATAAAGTAAAGCAGTAAGGCTGTGAAGCTGATTTTTAATAATGTACAATTTAGCATTTGAACATGGGAGTTTATGGCAGACTACTCAAGTGAAAAGAGGAACTACCACTACTTCACTAGCTCAGTAAGATCCCAGTTTACATAAAATTATTACTTGGGTAAGATGACTCATTCATATGACAAATACATATTTTGTGCACAAGATAATGCCTGGTGAAGACCAAATGAAAACTTCTTTCCACAATAAGTTGATAAGATTTTGCACACAAGATGAAAGAAATGCACCTTTTGAGATCCCATGGGCTAAAATAGCTTCTTGTTTCATAAATTCATAAACAGTTCAAAGCTTACAAGTGTTCAGTTCTATCAGATGTAATCTAGAGCAGATTTTGGATATTCAGAAGCTGGAACCAGCAAATGTTGGCAGTTGTCTGCCACGTTTCTGTCAAACGCTCACAGGCAAGGACAGCGTGACTAAGGGAGAAAACACAATCCTGTATATTTAATAAGTAAGGAACAAACGGAGCTCCTCGTTATGCTTTTAAGCTGTGAGACACGCCGGATAACTCAGAGGCATTTGTAAATCATTTGGTGTGCATTAACAGACAGATTTTTGACACCCAGTTCTGCATTTTTAAACAGGGCTGTGCTTATATTTTCACTCGCTTTGCTCCAGTTCTGTCTCAATGTGGAGTCCTCCACATTGTGATGTTATTTATTCATACCATTTAATGATACATTTTACAGAATTTGCATGAAGCCTTCACAGTCGGGATGCTTCTTTGAAGATTGTATTAATATTTGACTTAGCCTACTTGTTCACTAAAGATGGGCTTGGTTGAGAAGACTGACAAAGCTCGTTTTCTCGTGTTGTACTTTGCTTTAATTACTTCCTAAGTAAAATTTTGCCAAGTGAGATGTCTTTCTCAGTCACTTACAGTAACAAAGACTGTGCCCAAACTTGTCTGCCCTCCTTAGTCAGTGGTATTTAGCAGGCAATTTAATGTGGGGGTTTAAAAAAAAAAGAGGGAGGGGTCAGAGGTCTGTTGGAGAGAAAAAAGAAAAACAATGACTACAATGTCGTCATCCTGTTCATGAGGGGAGTCCCTGCAATTCCCTGCGATTATCCCACCAGATGCGTAGGACATTTTACATACACATCCTGGAAAAAAAAAAAAAGTTAACTGAACATCCTGCCGGGGGACTCGCAGCGTGCTTCAGCAGCGTGACTCTCCACTGAACTCTCTCATGATAGTGCTTCAGGTAGAAAAAAAAGCCAGAAAAATATTCTCCAAAGGCCCAGTAGTGATGCAGCATGCCAAGAGAGGGCAGAGGAATTTTCCAAGCGTTATCAAAATACACAACTGTGCCCCCTTCTCAGCTTGGTATGCAAGCATCATGCGATGGGCAGCTTGCTGAAAAACTGAACACATGCATTTCATCGGCAGGCTTCTGCTGACAGCTTGAGAAACAACAGCATTTTTGTGCATGTTTATCTATGCAGATGTTTTCCAATGTGCATCTTCTCTCAAAGAAGGATGTGAAAACCAAACACATTCATGTATTCTTATGAGTTTATCACTTTTTGTTTTTAGGCTAATTTGAGCTGTTTACAGTAATGCTTAGTCTGCTTTACGTTACATAAATTCCACAAATATATATTATAAAAATGCTTTTTAAAATGACAGTTGTGATAAATGTAGACTCTTTTTAAATCTGGTTGAGCTGGTTGTAATCAAGCAATTTTAAAATTTCAGAATTAAATAAACCACCTGTTTGATATATATATATATTTTTTTTTTAAAAACAGTAATACAAGCCTTTATATCTATTTGCACACCAACATCTAGCAATTTTGCATATCAGTAATTTCATATTTTTAAACATCACAAAAAATATTGTAAAAAACAATTTTACTAGCTCTTTCTTTAGCTAAATGATTTGCCAATTAGCACATTGCTAAAATGTTATTAAACATGTTTTGATCTAAACAGCATTTTTATTTTAGCTCAACATTCCTCGCTCAGCTAATTAACCTAGCTACAAATTAGCTAGCCTAGTTACTAATGCATAGGCTAATTAATAGACTAGCTCATTTGTAGCAAGATGCTAACCTGAAATTTGGACTTCTCAATAGCAAAAAGCAGTTCTCAAAAGTGTATTTATTTTTATTTCATTTTGAAAAAAAGAAGAAGAAGAAATTAGCCAATTACTAATGTGGCTACATGCTGGGTGGCAAATAAGTAGTGGATAGCAATCACAGATTTCAACTGGGCTTACCTACAAAGCTAATTAGCTTAGTAAATAGCTGACTAAATTTTGTTCTGAAATCTTGAAATTGCTTCTTACAACCAGCTAAATCACAAAGCATTTACATTTTGGGGGTTTCAGGTACTAATTACAAGTTAACTGGCCTTTTAAAAACTATTTTCACTACCTTTCCACAGACTTTGCATTAATTTGCATAATATAAGACAGAGGAAACATTGCTGTAAATACTTTCATTAGCCTATAAAAGCTCAACTGTCAGCTTCATGGATTAATCTTGGAGTTTTAAAGTAAGAGTTCCATTTAAATGAATAAAAACAACTGAAAAACAGTAAAAAAAACTTTCATGTTGCAGAGCTACTATTACTACTACAGGAGAAAACAATACAAATTGAGTTAAACATCAAATTGGCACTAGCTGATATTAATCAGCTAGCCCAATGAAGGTTTAAACTGCTCAGTTTCCCATAATGTCAGAAGACAAACAAGCAGGAATCCAAACTTACTCTGCGCCAGCCGGATCCTCTCCACTCAACAGGTCTGCAGCTCCCAGACTGTCAGGAGTGTTTTGGCTAGGAAGACAACCTGATGATGTGGACCTTTCTTTGATGGCAGCTGAAAACATGCTGTTGTAAATTCCCCTGGAAGTGTTGCACAGAGGGGGGGAGGAGGGAAGTCACACACACAAACACACAACACTATCTGTGCTGCCAGCTCTGGAAGTCTGCAGCAACACCCAGTGAGACTTGTAAATAGAAGGGAGGGAGGGTGGTGGTGCTGGTGCTGGTGCAGGAGGGAGCTGGGGAGGCGTGGTGGGGCGGGAGGATAAGGAGAGTGAGGAGAAGTTCCACATTACATCAGCAGCAGCTGTTGACAGGCCTGCGTTTATTAACTAACTGCCAGGGCCGAAGGAGTCACACCACACAGAGCGCGCTCTTGCATACACTCACACACACACACACACACACGTGCAAACACATGGATGGTTCCTTAGAATATAAAAGAGAAACACTATACTGCTGGGAAGCTCTTAAAGAGGAGCTTCTTTCCCAGGATTCACCTCTCTCTGCTTGGCTTTCAGGTGTTACCTGTCATGTGTTTACACTGGCTGCGAGACTTGCTGACTGGACTGGACTGGAAGAGCTGTTTGCCTGACTCAGACAGCAGTAATGGCATTACTGCAAAGAGAGGCCTGCTTCTGCATTCCTCAAGTGTCTTGGCTTGGCGGACTCCCCAGCCTCTTAGCTCAGCCTGTATTTCTCTCCCTCCCCTTCCCTGCCTCTCTTTCCTTCTCATTTAAATGGAGGCACATGACTCTCGTCTTCACTGCCAAGTATACTTCTCTGTGCCGGCCGCGAGCCACCACCAGCACTCTGCTTTTCATTGCCCTCTCTGCAGGGCACTCCTCAGAGAGTCTGCATTCCTTCGCTGCCACCCATCCAAGGCTCAAAGAGCAGCCCTGCCACTTGCATTAACCTCATCTCTTGTGTTATATCTGCTTAAATTCGGTTTGTTTTACTGATTGTTTGCAGGATGCACCAAAAACACAAAGTGCATTTGCTCGAAATAAGCCGGAGTTCCATGTTTTTCAGCACGACCGCCCACCGCTTCTCATCCCTAACCGCTGTGAACAAATGGTCTGCTTTCAGCCCGTCTCCACTGCATGCCTTGCGGTCTCAAATGCAATAATTTCTGCAGCAATTCCATTCTGTTTGTCGCATTCTTGCCCCGTAAGCTCACTGCATTGCAACATTGTTCACTCAGCGGAGGCAGAAGGAGATGGAGTGAGCTGACGACATTGCAATACGCCGGGGCGGCAGGGAGCTGGAAGATAAATGACTTCATGCGCAAGCACACACACGCACGCACACACGAAAACACCTAAAAAGATTTCTGAGCTGCTTTGAAGGCAGAGCACACAAGAAAGAGTGCGATCCCCGGCCATCCTGCAATCACAGGCATTCAATTAAACCTAAATGTCAGGAGCTAATGGGATAAAGAGCAGCATGGTGTTACGCTGATCGGCATCAAGGAGAGGGTTAATAATACAAGAACCACCGTATCTTCTTCATTTAGCGCTTCATAATGGAAATTTGAAATTTGAAATATTAGCATTTGTAGATTTGAATTTGCATAATTAGGTAAATGTTAGCTTTTATTTTTGCTGACAGTGTAAATATCTCCCCTGTTATTTTGAGCTTTTTACAGGTTCCTCATGAACCTGAGTGGCTGACAGGTGGAGTCTGCAGTATACGTGTGCACCGTGTGTGCACCGTGTGTGCATGTATGTGCGTATGTAAACACCTGTGCGTGCTTATCTCGTGAAGAAGAAACACTGACCGAATCCGCTCCTCCTTCCTAAATCACATCCTGTCTTCCATATCTGCCTCCTCCACTCGTTCTGATGCGTTCTTATCTTGACATAAGGAAAGAAAAATATTTCTATTTTCCTAAGGTCTTTTTCTTTTTGCTTTGTTGTCAAGCAGCAAACCCATAGTGGTAAGTTTTGGGGTATAAATCAAGTCATTTATGTGGTATGTTTGGAAACGATTACACAGCTTTATGGAGCAAACAGGCCAGCTGAAGAGAGGTCATGAAGATGCCAGCTATGGCTTTTCTATCTTAAGCTCTCTTTTTACGAATGGTTGTCCAAATAAGAGTAACATCGTCCCTTTTCAAACAGTTTTCAGGTTTTCATCCAAAACCTCAAGAAGGACGGCTATAAAAGGCTTTGGAACTAACACAAAGTTTTAACTGCGATTTGACTTGAGCATGCCCAGAGATGGACGACTGACAAAAGAGTCACACAGATCCAGAGATCATTTGATAAAATCTAGTTGTTCAGGAAAAATAGGTGTTCCTGTAAACTCCTTGCAATAGCTTCGATTGCTAGCAGGTTGTTAGTCTCCTGGAGTTTGCATGGAACACACCAACTTGTCTGCAAACACCATTTACTCTGCAAACTGTAGTAAGACTTGAAAAGTTGTGGCACAACCTGGAAAGGGAGAACATTTGCCTTTAGAGCAAAAGTTGGCCTTGACTGCTGCAAACAAGACATTTCAAAGAGCACAAGTGTTTGGTGACTATTGGTGAGTGTTTGCAATCATGCAGGCGTCTTTAATGAAACTGTGTGCGACTGAGTACAATTCTGGTACAACAGTGAATAGTAGCAGCAGCTAACAGCAACTCACCAATACGTTGGGGAATTAATATTTTTCTCTAGCAACCTGTGGTTGCCAGGAATTGCTGACCTGTCTCTTGGCATTTGTGACTGTCCTAACCAAGTTTTTTGTTTGTTTGTTTGTTTTGTACTCAAAATCAGTGCATACAATGTACAATATTGTTCTCTTAAAAGTAAATACTGCCCATAATTCATTGTCTTGGTGGAGCCTGGAGATTTGGTCTCTTTGGGTGCTTCTTGGTTTTTTTTGTTTTGTTTTTTAGAAATAAGTGAGCATATTTGGATGAAAAGGAGAACTGAGGTATAAACTAATGCTCTTCATTTTGCTCAGCAATCAGCTGCCATAGCCTGGCTACATATCTGCTACTTTATGCTAGTTTGGCTGGAATCTCTAAGAGATCGAAAATGTGACGTCATCTCCGCGGGATCTCCGCAAAGGATTGTAGGTACAACTGGCTTGCGCACACGGGCTATTACATGACAACAGTCACACAGAGACAGAGCGATCGGTTTTTATCGGATTCCTTCGTGGAAGAAAAATTGTGCAAGTCATGTTTTCGAAGTCACAAAGAGGCAACGGAGGGCTTGGATTGAGGGGGAAAGTCCCAAAACCCACCGTGGTACAAGAAATCCCTTTCACTGGAAAGAACAGTGACTGTCGCTGCCCCCTCTCTCTTCCACTACTCCGGAGCAAAGAGACAGAGTGGACGGCCAGGGACACCGCCGGGTTTTCTTTGTCCCGCTCCGATTTTAGTGGATTTTAATGCTGTGACTGACACCACTGGACTTTTAATGTTGTTTTTATGTTTTTACTGTGTGTTCTCCCTGGCCAGGGGTGTTTTTAACTGTTTTAAATCTTTTTTGTGAAATAAATTATATTTTAGTAATAGAGTTTTATATTGTTTTATTGCCTTGGCTACTCCACTGCTCTGTCCGTTTTTTGAAGGGTTGCCCTTCACTTAGAATAAAACCTGGTGTCCACCTACATGTCTGGCTACTCGGAACATGTCAGTGTCCTGTACCCATCTGTCGGTAAACTGGAACTGGACTTGTTGCAGGGATCTGAAGTTACTAAACACTTCTTGAGTGTATGCACTCATACTTAGGAACATATAATTATAAATATGAGCGTGATGAAAGCTGGGCAGCACGCTAACGTCTTTAGCCCACTCTGTATGCTCGTATGGGTCTAACTCTTTCACTCCTTTGATTTTTTCCTCGTACCTTTTTTTTTTGGCCTTTTCGTCAAGTCTGTCTTTGTACGGACCTGCCATGTTCTCCTTCGTTTTGTACATAACTGTTTTGGGGGCAAATAAAATTCAGGTAGGGATTAAAACTGCAAAATTAATGGTTATCGGTGCTGGAAATGCTAGCGCTTGATGCAGTGTTTTGATTGTGCTGCCACTCGTACCTACAACGCAACGTGCGAAAGTCACGTGGTCTGACTGACTCACTTTTGTGACAAGCCTCCAGTGGCCATATGAGGAATTGCAGTTTTTTAGCTTTGTATGTTGCTGAGGAATTCAGCTATTACTTTATTTAAAGAAGAGCAAAAATCCTTAATATTATACACAGGTAATGGTTTAAACAGTCTATATTTCTAAACTATGCAAAACCAAGACCACTAAAATGGAAATCAGTCAGCAAGCAGTGATGATGGAGGCGGCTAATGTTCGTTAATGTTGTACTTTCTGGATGATATCGATTAAAATAAAATCCCAAAACAAAACAAAAAGCACATTAAGGCACTCCTCAGCACATCACACTATTTTCCAGATGTGACTCATGTGGTGTAACGGCTGTTCTTCACAGTTGGTTTGTCACACCTGTGTCTCCTGTGGATAAACATCTCAGTTGTGCGTCAAAAGTTCTCCCCTGGGCCCTGTGGCATTTATTTCTATTTCTTAAACATATCTGGGCCACCCCGGGCCAGACCACATGGTTAACACCTTTAGATTTATAGCACCCAAGCTTCGCGTCAGGGCGAAACCTCACACGTAGGCTAATAGATAACTCATAAAATTACCTAAGGGCAGACAAGCCTCTGCCGTTTGGTCCTGTTCATCATTTTTAATCTCGCCTTTACATCTTTATATGTGGACACACCTACATTTTTGCATGTGTGTGTGTTTGACATGGAGGGGTGAGAGTCTAGTCTCAGATAATTACAGGCCACTGATCCCGTCAGCTGTCACCGCCACACTCTTTTTACATGTCAATGACAGCCAAATGGGACCTCATATCCTTCCTCCGGCTCATACAATGCTCTCATTGAAAACATGAGCAGCGGAGAGAAAATCAGAAAGCGAGAAAGCGTAGGATGCCACTCCTTGTCCCAGCTGGCGCTGGCTCAATGGCAAAGGGCACCAAATCTTGTCCGCAGAATAACAACCACTCCTATTCCTCTCCTCAAATCCTCCTCCTCATCCTTCACCTCTCTCCGGCCGACTTCATCACCGCCTCGGC